GTCAATTGGTTATTTCAGCACTTGACATCACCCCCGCATAAAACAAGGCAAATGGCCAATTAACTAACTGGAAGTTTTCCAGTTCAAAAGCCCTGGTGGTGCCAAAATGAATGAAGATGAAGTGGAGTAGAAAAAAAAAAGTTTAAATTGGCTGAACAGTCAGCTCTCTATGGGAAGCTGAAAATAGAAATCAGTTTGTGGAACTCAGGAGCTTCACTATCTTCTATTTGGGGAAGATCAGACTTCGGCATTTGCAAGTTAAACAGGGATCCCCAAGGCTTCTAGAGAGCACTTCATAAAAAGAGGTTTTATATAGGACCTGTGTATTTTGCAAATAAAACTGTAGCACATTAAATTCTAATCACATTCTATTCATTGCATCTGAAATCAGAGTACAAATTTGCTTCCTACGGATAATTATCTGGACTGGAGTTTTAATCTCATATGTATGCCATTACCCCTATGCAAACATGAATAAGTTTGGACTTCTTTTCAACAGCATTCAGCTATTTTGACAGTTTAAGTGGTTATGAATTGGTTTTAAATAAAGAAATCAGATGATATGTTAAGCAGTAGCACTTGAACTGAGAAAGAGAAGAATACAAATTGTAGAATAACCTCTTTGCTTGGGAAATAATGCTCAAATTCCAGAAGGCAAAGTAGTTTATCATGTCAGCTTTGTAAATACTATTTCTATAAAAGTCAATGCCACTTTAAATACAGCAATCAGGCCTCTCATACAAACTCTTAAGCTACATCAGAAGTGAATGCAAGTATTCTAAGTAAGAAAAATTCTCCTGCAGAAAATTTCCATTAATTATAAAATTGTTACTTGAGCTAAGGAACAGCAATTTAGTCTTCTGTCAATGACAACACATAAACAGGACAGTACAGTTCTAGTTAGATATACCAAGATTTACTTTGAAAGGGTTGAAAACAAGAAGTTATGAGGCATTTTGTTTTGCTTTCAGTCAGTTAACAGCGGTTGGGCCAACTCAGAGCAGTGATCCAACACTTGCTCTTCCCAGTGACACCTAAATCTTTGGTCGCAGATCAACACATGAAACAGGGACAACTTCTAAACATCACTCTTTACTACAACTTGTATAAAAAGGTCATGATCATCATGAAACAAAGATTACAAATCTTCTTTTGTAAAAAAGCAACCATATTCCAAACATAAACATAAAAAGGAAAAATGTGATTTTGACTTATTTAAATTATATTATTATAAATTGCTATCATCATCAAAAAAGCAAAGGAACAGCCAACTTTAATTATCATTATATTTTTCATTACTAGTTATAAAATTTTGGCTACTGGATTCATTATCAGGCAAATTTGCCAGCGATTACTCTGACAAGCAAATTATCTCTGCATTTTAAAAAAGCCACCTGATCCAAACACCCTTTAGTTCCAGTGAAACACAACCAGTGCTTTACAGAAAAGGGTTTTTTTGATAGATGCCTAACAATGCAGATAGGTATCAACATCAGTTTTCAAATTCCTCAAAAGAGCACATTTGACATAATTTTTCTAGTGACCTTGTGTGTGTCCTTTAAAACATTTTTTTTAAGTTATTCTTGTTAAAAATAAACTTCATGTGTTTTCATAACTTGTACGAACTACCAAAAGTAGTATTCGGTGAGGAGATCATGAACTTGTCATAGGTTCTGGCACTCACAGCAGCTGCTCGTCAGGGAAAATACCTTCAATCTGCTGTTTGTGAAAAAGACAATTTGACTACACCAAATTCTAGAATCACGAAAGAAGTTGCATGAGTCTAATAAAACTTCAAATATGTGTTTTAAAAGCACTAATAATCTAACATATAGCCAGACACAATGTACATATAGGTACCCAGCACATCACATGAGACTGACCCTAGCAAGGACCTGAACTTAGAAACATTTTTTAGCTGCAGAGCTGTTACTAAAATGACTAGTTAGAACAGCTCTGAGCAGGCAGATCACTTCACCAGCGTGGATCTGTGTAAAATCAGGGCCTGAACACATTTCTTCCCTTCATCTGGCCTCAGCTTCAGAAAAAAACATGCTTCCCCCTCAGCCCACTCCCCACATCAATGGACCCACTTTTGGAAAGTGTTGCATTACTTAACTTCATTACTGTTTTGAATTGCTTTCAACCAGTTCTCACCTTGCAAAACTCTGAGGTGCATTAATATAGCACATGCTTAAGCTCCACGATATGCAAATCGTGGATCAGCAGTGGGATGTTACTTATGGAATGAAACTGGGCATAGGGTGGTGGCTCGCCTGTCTCCCCCTATGCACCTCTGACTAAATTTGCCTGTCTCCCCAGCCTCCAGAGAACCCTTTCTTTCTCTGCAGAACAGTGTCTACTCCCTCTCTCCACGTTGCTTAATCCTTCAGAATTATTTCTGACCTTTCTGCTCAGCCTGGTGGAACTTGGGCCATAGCAATGGCAGACACCCCTGAATCTTCAACCACAGCTGCTGCAGCACTTCAAAGGCAGCTACCACAGCTCAGGATTTAAACTGCAGCTGGAATTTGACGGCTCAAGGTGGAGTCCCCAGGGCTGAGCAAAAAGAGCAAAGCTCATTTGTAAGGATTAAAATGTGGACAGGTAATGGATCTAAATGAG